ATATGTATGTGTATATCAAGAAAGCTATACCCATTAATGAAATCTCAATAATATGCTATACTAAATAAGACCTGCATAATGGCAGTAACAGTTGGCCTGATAATGTATTTATATATGTATAGTGTATATATAAATATGTGTGTGTAAAAATAATAATTAAACAGAATAGGTCATGAAGTTAAAGAGAGATAAGGGAAGAGTTGGCACTGGAGAGATATATAGAAAGTATGTAAACATAGTGTTCATCTTTGAAATTCTCAAAAAAAATTAAGTTAAAAAGGAATACAAAATGTCATCCTAAGAGTAGGAAAGTTTCTGTGAAAAAGTAATTCCTAAAATCAATGCAAAGACACATAGTCTACCTAGGACAGTTACATGGTGGAAAGGAGCAAGACAGAGGCCAAGCTGAAATAAAATTTAAAATTCTATTTTGCATTATGCCAACCTAAGTCATATTGTGTTAAAGTGTAGGCTCAAAACACAAAGAAAAAAGCAACAGTGAATACATGATTGAAAGAAAATAATACATTTCACATGTGGCTAATTTTAAAATACTTTCCAACACAGAACTCCCCAGTATAGGTAAGCTCAACAAATCATCTGATTGCTGAGAGCTTCCTGTCCTTGCATGCAAGTCTTTTATCCAAATAGGTCAATATATTATGCATATTATACATACTGCGTAATGTATATCAGAAACACTGTGAATAATGTTTGCCAAACATGAGTCATGCATTTACGGTTTATTAACCTATTAACACAAGGTCTCTCCAGAGTGGGTGCCTCAGTGAACAATGGCCCACAAAGCCTCCACTGTGCCCTTAGTTAACGTGGGTAGTTAAAGGTGGGAGCTCATCGGGATGCAGGAGTTACATAGTGCAGTTTTTCAGGATGACTATACAGAGCAATAGTCTTAAACAGACTACCTCTGAGTCACTGCTATTGTTTTTAGTTTCAAATGCCAAACATGTTCTTCTTTTGTCCATAATGCTCTAACTTCCATTCTGTTCTGTACCTCTTTTGAATTAAAAATTCCTAAAATAGGAAAGAGGTCTTGTCTTACATAACATGGTCTTTTCTGGTAAACTGGATCAGATATTAACAGGGTTTAACCAAAACCACTGAAGATCTTTTCCAATATGGCAGGAGTTTTTACAAAAGAAAGCAGAAATCATGTTTAATGTTAAAGAAATACATTCGACACAGTGTATCATAATTTTTCTCTAACCTAAATACCCTAGAGAGCTGTGGTCTCTGCAAATATTACTTACTGTCACAATTCATAAACCTGGCCTCAAATACCACCGTCAATTTTAGAATTTACGTCCTACACATCAACTACATTAGCACTTAAATACAAACCCTCAAGTCTAATTTTAAACTCATTACATTGAAAAGCCTTCTAAAATTCATTCTTTTTCACATTATAGTAATGAGTTTAAAAGAACACAAAGGATGCTTCTAGTCAGAGAAAAGCAAATCTATATAGTTCTCCTAGGGGTAAACTAAGTAAGGCTTGGAGCTCAATATTCATTCACAGTAAGTCTGGAACTCTGTCAGTCATTTCTATTACAGTGCAGTGCAAAGCACCCCATAAGAAAGACTTCCTTGGTCAAGAGCATGGCAGAGAGGTCATATGCTGACCTTTGAAGAGTGTTTCAATTTCCGTCTTTTGATATTAAAGTGCCTCATAAAAACATTAAACAATACATCCAGCATGGACATATCTAATTGCCATTAAGCATATGAGAATAACAAGGAAATCAAGAGGTCAAGGGTACGGAGGGTGAGTGCACATCGGGAGAAGGGGATGTGGAGAGGTGGAGACAGAATGCTTCAAAGACTCATTCCATAGCACACATTGAGTTAATCTCTTCAGGAGGGGTTACCTGAAATGACACCACAGTGATGGTTGTGAAGAGCTGACTTCTCCCTGTCTTTTCCCTCTGTGGACCTTTTCTGCCTGTATAAACGGTGTGGGTGACCTAGGATGGCCATTGTATCGTTGAATGGCTCAATGAATATGAAGTCCTCGTTGAGTTGTATAAAGCCCATCTGGAATACATAACACGAAAAGATACGTAAGACATACCATCTAGAAATTACTTTTCAGACTCCACACCCACGTGCTGTTTTCTTCAACAAATGTGCATACAAATTCCCTGAAAAGCTATTTTTGCAGCCCCACTAGTAAGGCAGCCACCTTCTCATAGTATGACTTCATCTTGACGCACTTACTGCACTAGCATAAACTAGCATAGTTAGACTGAGCCTGTGTGGGTGGGAGGCAAGGCGCCAGCAACAGATGCACAGTAAAAATTCTGGAATGTTAAAGGCTGACTTTGGGAGACCCATGGGGTCACTAACATGAACAACATGTCCAGCAACAGTGAAGCAGTTTTTAATTGCAGCCACCACACAGTCCAACTTCTTGACAACTTCTATTTAGTGAAGTAATTCATGTAAAATATCAAGGCAAATGATGAGGCACAGCATTGAAATTAACAGAGAAAATGTCTTAAACTTTCCACTAAACACTTTAGAAACTTTTCAGAATGAAGCAGAACATCGATCGAAGACTCACATTCAAGCCCAAACTTCATGTCATAGAGTTTAACACTTATCTAATTGGGCATGCAAATTCAAAAACTGCAAGCCAAGGTTATGATCAATAAAAATAATCAGTTTGCATTTTTGATGTGTTGAGGCTAAGCCTAGGCACTTGCGTTTTTTCTTCTTAAAATATAAACTGCATCATAACTAGGAAAACACTCCACACAGAACTGTCAGAAGTTCTTTTCAATATTTATTAAGTATATAACCCAATCTATATATAGCACAGGCTTAACTATGTTAACATCTTAGTGGACATTTTTATAGAAATATTTTCCTGCAACTTGAATTATTCAATCCAAAATTCTATTTATATAATGTTGTTAATTCAGCTTCATGTTAACCACATGAAATATATAGATCATTTTAATTTAGTGTGCACACAAAGTAGCATAATAATTTCTTCAGAAATAGCAACTTTCAAAACTGGAGATATATAAAAACTACATTTGCTATAAAAATGTATTTTCCTTAGATGAACATGAGAGATTTTTTTTAAAAAATACAACATGTATTGTTTTATAATATTCACAGTTTTATTCCTCTTCTTCCTAGTAGATAGACAAATACCAACTACATACACAATGGGACTAGATGATGTTGAATTAGAAATTGATCCACATTATATTAGTGTAGCATCCTTATTCACCTATCCTTACAACCAGTAATGACACTGCAACTGATTAATGGATCATGATGTGACAACATCTCATACAAACATGCCAAGTTAACTCAAATTCTGATTTCATAGTCTAACATATTCTCAACAGGTTCTAAACTACTGAATTCATAACAATGAGCCTTAAGATACTAAGCAATGTAGTGTCCTGTAAAGTTTAACGCACCCTAGACCAGATTTTGGAATTTCATTTTGGAGTACATAACTTATAGCAATGGGCTGTAAGGATGTTATTGTGAATTCACACAAAAATGACAGGGAGTGTTTGAAAACACAGCTAAAATTCTTATCCTGGAGTCTGCTACTGATTAAATACTCTATACCTGTTCCCTGATATGCTTATTCCAATAATTATGACAAATTTAATGAGCACACCCAAACATTAAATTTCTTTTTCCTCTATTAACACACTAAGTATTACTTGAAATGTATATTTTGAGGTTACATTTTGTTGGGTTAAGAATTAGAAACTATAATATAGGTTCTATGGGGCATTAGGATTTTATCTATAGACATTCTTTTTGAAACTAAGAAGACCAGTTTTAAAAGGAAAAAAGTTAGAGTAATTATAAAGGGTGACTCATTTGTGCAATGCTTACCCACAGTCTGAGCACTAAGCCCTAGGCACATTTAACAGCAATGTGGCCTTTCCATCAGAGACCGGAAACCTATACGACGACACACAAGCGCAGAGGCTTTCTTCTGTATCATTCAAGATACTTGCGTAGATGATTAACCTTAGGTTTTCTGTGTTCTCACACAGAGGTCTTTTTTTCTATTAGCAAAAAAGATTGCTTTATCTACACTGTGGTTTTACAAGCTGTGAAAAACTATAAACCCCTTTTAACCTCACTGCACAAATGCCCCAGTGTCCAACAGAATTTGCTTTAGTGTCAACTCAGAAACAAAAGCTCATGTGAAATAGCAGCACCATCACGTCTGTATTTTGCAAAGTTATTTTGAAATATTGTATGATAACAGTAGAGAATAAATTTAAGATTTTTCAGTTGTTTCCATCTCTATTTCTGTTGTGATATACATTTGTCACTAATAATTTTATTTCACAATTTAGTAAGAATTTCAGGGGACTGAGGATATTACTCAACAAGGTGCTTGCCTCATAAGCACAAGTACCTGGGTTTGAACCTAGAACCTATGTAAAAAGGGCAGGTTGGTGATATATACTTGGGGATATGGAGATGGGCAGATCCTTGGGATTCACTGGTTAGCCAGCCCTGCCTAAATGGTCAGTTCCAGACCATTGAGAAACAGTATCTCAAAAAAAATTAGTAGGGACTAGGAAGATGACTTGGGCATAAAATTCTTAGGCGTCAGACATGAAGCACCTGAGGCTAGATTCCACAGAATCTACCTAAATGGCCAGGGTTCTTGGACCTTCCTGGAGAACTCTAGTTAAGGGTTTATAGTTAGGAAGGAGGTGATGGGTATATCCTTGGAGTTGGCTATCCAGTTAGTTCTGTGGAATCTATAATTCCCAGGTTCAGACCTACCTCAGAAGACAAGGGAGAGAGCAATGGATAAAGTTATCTGATGCTGAACTCCAGTCTATATGCACCTTTCAAACACACACACACACACACACACACACACACACACACACACACACGCATACATACACATGCACATGCACATACATACATGTACATTCACCTACACCCACATGCCACGTGTACACAAAGGGGATGGCTTGGAGGATATCTTCTGGCCTCTACACATATGTACACATATATACATACACCTCTACACATGGATCCTACTTATACAAAGGATTTTCAAAATAATTTCACTATTTTTCAATATAGCATTGCTTATGTGAAAATAAGCTGCTATTTCTTGTTTGCTGACTATGCTGTGTCTTCCTGTAAGTTCTTATATCTTGTAAGCTGTCACAAATATTAGTGTCCTTTTAGATACACTAATACTGCCACCAGCAACCCACAGACCTGTTCTTATTCCATCCAGAACACTGACTTGGTCAAAGTTTGTTGTTGTTTAAACATTGCTGCTTCAGTGAATCAAGTTTAATTTTTCCATTTGTTCAAATTAATTTGAAGTTACTTAAGAGATGAATGGATGTTAAACACCTAAGTTAGACCTAACTGAAAACTTACTAGACTCAGAAATAGAAGGACAGTCCTGTCTGCTCTTCCTGGGGTGATTTTCATTTCAAGTCCTGTTTTACATTTCACCTGGTAAAACACTAGTCCCATTCCATCAAGTCATCACCTCATACTCCCTCCATTCCTTCTGGCACTTTCTTTATTTCTATGTAAAGTTCCAGTGAGTTTGGTGAATTTGTTGAGTCTCGGTGGAAAATACATATTGACTACTCCTTAAGTACTAAATATTATGGCTATGTGATAGCGAAAGAGCATCATCAAAATGTGCACTATCAATTCCTCACAAATATCAAGGAAATGAAATGAGTTAGAGCAGTGGTTCTCAACCTCCCTAATGCTGTCACCCCTTAATACAGTTCCTCATGTTGGGGAGATGCCCAAACCATAAAATTATTTTCGTTGTTACTTCATAAAAGCAATTTTGCTACTGTTATGAATCATAACATGAAAATCTGATATGCAGGCTATCTGATATGCAACCCATATTGAAGGGTTGTTAGACCCCCCCCATTTGGTTGCAACCCATAGTTTGAGAACCACTGAATTAGATAGATATTTGCACTCCTATGTTTATTACAGCATTATTTACATTTGTCATTTCATTTTCACTCCTGAAATCTCATGTAACCATAATGAAGAAAAGTTCTATGTGAACAAACATTATATTGGAATATTTCAGGATAACAATTAGTGCATCATTATATCTTGACACGTCCCAGATGCCATGTTCTTCCCAAAACACACTGCCTCTGTGCCTAGCTATGATTTCCTCAAAATAAAAAAGACCCTAACATCTCAAGTATCCACTGCCTTCCTTGGCCTTTCTGCACCTCATATTTTCTATTACTTTATTGTCAAATGTAGTTATTGTCTCATTTCACTCTAAGTGGACTGAGGGCTTTTGAAGTGAAGGCCTTTGTGATAGTATGTAGCCTCGTACTTCAATCAGGAAGCCTGGTACAGCATCAATACTCAGAGAAATCTGCTCTTAACCCAACGTGTTGCTCTCTTGTGGAAGAAAAGAGAAGATATCAATTTAGTGTTCTGAATAGCATGTATTCACTCTACCTATGACTTCATCTAGGGAAAATCCAAATTTCATTTCTTCCACAAGCCTTTTCCAGTGTTGCCTTCCTTATATGTCCAAGTAATATCTTGAGGAAACTTTTCAAGCCACCAGACTATAAACGTCATTCTATTTTCTTTCACAGCCAAAAAGTTTCAAAGAGGATCATAAAAGTATAATAATAGAAAGACACTTAGAAATCAGCTGGGAATTACTGAAGTTTTAAAATCAAGGGAACGGGACCTTGGAAATGTTGCATGGCTTGCTTAAAATTCATGTAGAAAAGAGCAGCATTGAAGGCTCCAAATTTCCAAGAAAAATTTTGGTTTTAGGACATCATTCTAAATTTGCTCTCTGGCAATGTTTTTTTTTTTCCTGTCCATTCTATCTTCACTCAAAATCCCAATGTCAACACCACCTCCGTAAGTTATGACCCAAGGATCATTACAAGGATGGACAGAATTTCCCAATATTCCCATCTGGTCACTGACACACTTCTTGTCCTCTCAGTACTTCTTAATTTTGATTTTTGTATGAACATCATAATTAACACTCT